TATATATATATATATAAAACTGATTAGTAGTATTATAAGCCAAAACGAGCCGAACACGAACGAATAAATATTAGTTCGTGTTCGGCTCGTTAACTTAGCGAACAAGCCAAACACATGCTTCTTAACAAGCTGAACACGAGCTGTTCGCGAACAACGAGCCGTTTTGACAACGCTACATATAACTTAAAAATATCACTATTTTAACTTTAAAAAAGTTGTGCTTGAAGGTAAGGTGATATATTCCTAAAAATTGAAGTTTAGCTCTTGCATAGTTGCATATGTAACTACATAAGAATTAATTGGTATGTACGTAAATCTTCATATAAAAATAATATACGATTAAATAATTTAATTGAGCGTTGATTATGGGCTCCATGAACTCGTTTTATTTTTTATTATATTATTAATTGCTAAACATCCGTATGAGCCCATGGACTTTTTAGGCTTTCAAAAAAAAAAAAAATCTCATTTTAGGTAAATGGGAATGCTACGTGTTTGCTTTTCAAAAACAATAATTTTGGGCCCAATAATTTCAGAACGCCGACTATATATTAATATTTACATAAATACTACCCAATTCATATTTATTTACAAATCCAACATCTAAACTTCAATTTTTACATTAATGCCTCCAAAATATTTCAAATCACATCAAGTATCACCATTTTCATGCATGGGTAAATGGTAGGTATGTAAAAATTAAAATTTAGCTGTTAAATATGTAAATACATAGAAATTGAATGGTATATATGTAAATCTTCCATATTTACATTAATTGTTTATTTATCCGTCTATCCTTGCGCCTCTAGGCGCTTCCATCGTTATAAAAGCAAAGCCCATCTCATATCATCTCCTCATAACTAATTACAGTAATTAGCACTGATCTCCTTCTTGATCTCTTCTCCATGGGGAATTCATGCGCTTGTATCTCTTCTCAGAAAGCCAAGAGAAGCAAAAACCTCTCTTTTGATGGCAGCGAAGAATGGCAATATTTAGATTCAGAGCAGCTTTCAGTGCTGAACTCTCTGAACAACCTGAAGAAGAAGAAGAAGAAAAAGAAGAAGGATGAGTTGAAGAGAGAAGATGGTAAAGCTAAAAGCAGAAAACTAAGCTTGTTGCCTGAGGGTGATGAAGGAGGAGTGGGCAGAATCAGCATGGTTCTTACAAAGGAAGAAGCAGCTCTGCTTTTATCAATTCTCCGCGAAAATGATAGTATTGGAGGAGTTTCTTTTGGGTTTTGTGGAGGTTTGGGAAGCCATGAGTGGAAACCTTCTTTGCAGAGTATAGAAGAGGAAGATGAGTTCTGTTAGAGATCTTTGAAATTGATTGTATAGTTCTTTTTTTGTTTTTTTTTTTAGGAATATCTCATTTTTATTAATCTAGAGAGGCAGAATGATCCATATTGTTTAAATGAAGTTTAAGAATGGTGAGTTTTGGAATAAAATCATAAAAATATTGTTTAAAATTTATGGAATGGGTGTTTTGGTTGATTGGATCTGTTTATTTTTGGTAGAACAATTGCATGGCTTGAAAAGTTTTATGAGGTTTCAGATTAATAATGTTCTTTGATTTGTCCATCTGCATTAATTAAGCAATAATTTTTATTTATTTATTTTTCAGATTTGCTAATGAAGGTATATGAATATCAAGTAAATTTAGCTTAGGGGTGAAAGAGTAAAGTTGATCTTTAGCCATTACTGAGAAGTTTGAGCTCAACTCATGAGCTCAAGGCCTTAGGAGAAGCGAGCATCAAGTGGAAGTTATGGGGGCAGCTAGAAAGTTGAGTTTAACAGGAGTTTACAGGAGGAGGAGTTGATAAATCAAATGATATTTGAGGAAGAATAGAAAGTCATGAGTGGATGAAGGATAAATGATGATGATGATGAAGAAGAAGAAGAAGAAGAAGAAGAAGAAGACACCATATGATGTATTAATCTGTAAGGAAGAGAGAATTGTGATGGATCCAACAACATAAGAAGAGAAAGTTGTGACATTTAATTCTGCTATTCTAAATCGAGCAGGTTCAACAAATTGCTCATTACTTGACATAAAATGTTGTAGAAACAATGAGTTTTTGATATTGTCAAACTCTAATCTAGTGTCCCCTGTATGCATAGGTTTGGGAACACTGCAATGCCAGTGTGGTAGCACTGGGAAACTGCTTTTACAGTTTTACCCTCAGAGAAAAAATTGTGCTGAAATCTGATAAGATTTCAAATTATCTTCTGCAAGCAGCGGAGTATGAATTTTCTAGAGTTTCGATGTGTGGAGAGCTTGAGTGTGTAATTTGTACGTTTCTCATCATTTTTGTTTCATGGTGGATTTCTTGGTGTGTGTGGCTCTATGAATTTTTCTCATTCTAGTGTTTTTATCATTTTAAATTGGGAATTTTCTGTGTTTTCATTTTAAATTGGAGTTCTGAAAGACTTTGTATGTAGTTGTCCCGTTGTTGCCTTCCCCGGAAACAATTGAGGCAAAAGAAGAGAGTTTTGGAGGTCTCTGTATATCATAAAGAAGGAAAAAATATTAGTTGTGTTGTCATGTTGTACACGATTGTATTCATGCGTGCAACCATGAATATAACCATGTATAACATGATCATACTGAAGTTTGCATGCATGTGAACTCCACACCTAATATGTATTCAGGAGGTTTAAAGTTTTTAGTACACCTCAATCTTGTTGTTGTCTTCCAATTATATCAAATACAACAAACTTAATGGAGTGGTAGAAATGATAGAGAGAGGAGATTAGGGGGTATATATGTAATATACATATTTTTTACGTGCTAGATATGAAATATCATAAGAATTGATTGGTATGCATGTAAATCCCCCTTGAAACTTTTGTTATTGCCTCGAAGAAAAAATACCCCACCGGCAGCATAAATTGAGCATAATAAAAACATCCCATCGCTTTCTAGTCTCGCTAGAAGGTCAAATAGGAAGACTCAAAACTCACCAAACGAAGAAAACTTCGTTGTTTAACAATTTGTCAGATTTTCTGACAGGAATCCAAGTCCTTCTTTAAATACTCTTAAACTATATAAATACGTACGAAAATTGCAATATTATCGGTCCACTTATAATAGTTATACATGTTAAAAAAAATGATTACAAAAATTATTACTACCTTTGAAAAAAATCTTATCATCATATTTTATGCATTAAGTAGTAATTTTTTAATTTGTTCCCCTAATTTTCTCAATGAAAATACATGAAGGCCTCGTTGAAAGAACCTGTTATGGTATGACTTATATACCATATAGGGACAGACGCTGGAACGAAGCGGAGCAGAGCGGAGCGAAGCGGAAGAATCTGTCCAAATCGGGAAGTTAACAAATCGGGAAGTTACGTTATGTGGGTTGGGGGTGCTGGGTCAACGCCCGCTATATGATACATGAGTAACTTGATAATTACATATTGTACTGTAGGGTTTACTCTAGGATTATAAATAGACATGTTTGTAATTCTAGTTCTTTGAGAGAGCTGAATATTGTATTATGTATTCTTTTTTGAATATTGAAAAGGAAGTCGCCGCTCTGTATTATGTATTCTTTTTTGAATAGCTCCCGAGGATGTAGGCATCTTTGCCGAACCTCGTTAAATCTCTGTGTGTTCTTCTGGATTTGTGTCGATTCTTATTTTTCTTCGCCCTATTTTCTCAACAGAACCATGCTCCTTTAAAGAAATAGTCGTGATGCTGCAGTAAAAGAAACTGATGTTTAAAAAATTGCGGTGATTATTAGAAATTTATTTTAATTTTAAAATGTCGGATCATAGTTTTCTGACAGTCACTGCACTTGAATATGTCAGGTTGAAAAAAAACAGCTTGCTATCTTAAAAATTTATAACAAGCGAAATGAAAGCAGTTACCAAAATAGAGTTGTAATGACGGCCTGAAAAACAAAACAACCAAAAAATTGTCTCAAACTGACCCTAAAACTATAGAAAATTTGTGTATACCTTTAATTGTCATCCATGAAAATACCCAACATCTATGATAGCTATATATATCATATAAAAATTTATATGTAAATTTTCATAGAATTATACATATACTAAAAAATTTATGCAATGTGAACTTAGGTCTCTATCTCTGAAATTCTAATAAAGAAATTTGACAAACATAAAATGGTTAATAATTTCATCAAGGCTAAATCATGCATGCACATGGCTATCATTTTCCAGTCTAGTTAATAAGTCAAATTGAAAAGACTCAAACACACCATACAAAGAAAAACTAGCATTTTAGCTATAGATTAACATATGAGCTGTTTTAATTAAGACTTTAAAAAATTTCATTGAGAGAAAAACAATTAAATAATTTCAACTTAATTTGTCTCTTTATGAGAAAAAATTGGTTCAATGGACTTTCTGATTAGCACAAACATAAAAAATATATTAATAGTTAATTAAACATTTAGGGAAAATCTTAACGGATCAATTATGCTGAAAAGTGGGTGTTGAATAACTAAAATGTTTTCTAAGCCTAATTTAGTTGGAAAAATGTTTTGTCAATTAGATAAATATTTAATCAAAATTAGGGAGCATAAAAGAAAAAAATAAAACACAGAGATAAAAGAAATTTGTATTTAGATTCAGGTTTCAGCTCATATCCTAACTGTTTATAGTTTTGGGCTCTAAGATTTATGATAATAAAACCTTAATAACGATGTGCTTTTCTTAATGGAAATTTTAAAAAAACTAAAATTTAAGATTAGATTGATAGCTACTAATGATAACTTATCTTAAGAAATAAAGTGCCAAAATATTTTCAGACTATTTAAGTGGAACTGTTTTAATGTTAGAGTTTATAGAAATGTCAAAAAAAGTCTCTGACTATTTTAAAAATTAGGTCTAATAGTATTCCGTGCGAATTTTTTCAGCCCCAAATTTAAAGAGTCTGAGGATTTTCTTAGCAATTCTATAAACTTTGAGACTAAAATGATTCCATATAAGTACTTCAGGACTATTTTGGCATCCCGTAAAAATATGTTCTAAGAAGGTTTATCGTACATAAAAGTTAATTTTTCGTATTCAAGGAAGATAATAAGTCTAAACATTAAGAAAATGAGCACATCAACAGACATAAAAATATTTTTTAAATAAGATTTCTTAAGGAAAATTCATAATAATAATAATAAATAAATAAATTTAATGCATTCTAGCACTCAACAAAAAGAAAGAACATTAGATCCAATTAAACGGACCTCTGAATAACAACATGGATCGCATCACATCATGCATTCAGCAACATGATGCGATTTAAGTTTCTATTTGAACATAGTACTTTTTTTTTCAAAATAGAAATTCACCAATTTGGAATAAAGACAACTTTATAGAATTGATGAACACAAAAACTCAACAAGCCACAACTTTTCTTCTTCTCAATACTCTTTCAACACCAAACAACCAATATACATATCAACAACCTCTACAAGTCAAAGATGCAGAAACCCTAAAGAAAAAAGAGATAGGGAGAAGGAAGAAGATGAAACAAAATGAAGAGAAATTTAAATCATGGCGCCGCAGAATTATCGAATCAAACTTCGGAAGCTTCCATGATGCTATTGAGCGACGGCCGCCACCTCTTCTCCTCCCTTCTCTCCCTCTCACCCAATTCCTGAAACAAATCCTTCAGTTTCCTCTCACCACGCCTCTCTCCCAGCTGCTTCATCAACCACTCCAGCTCAACCTTTGTCATTACTGCTCTGAACTTCTTAACCACTTTCTCATCTGTTCTATCTTCCTTCTGATCCTCTACACAACACAACCAACTAAATCTCTTAATGCAGTTGCCCATCTTCTTTGATTCGCACAGAAAGGAATAGAACAGTAGAAGAGAAGGAGAGTAGATGATGACTTCTGCTTGTTTGGTGACCTAAGAAGATGGAGAAAAAGGATTTTGGTGGGTAGAAAATATAACAAAGAGACAAGTGTAGGGCTCCATGAAGAATTTAATTGAGTAAATTGGTGGAGTGGGCTTAGCCAACCAGTAGTGCTGAGTTTGTTTTTGTAATATGATTTTTGTTTTCTTGGTTGCTACATGTGTTGGTTGTTTAGCTTTAATTTCCAACCAGATTAAATTATGTGACATCTTTTGAATAAGAGTATATATTGACCATCATAAGGTTTTACTTATTTTTGAATTTTGAATAAGAGTTTATGAATTATTATATATTTAACAAACTAGAGGCTGCTAGCAAGGCAAATAGAATTTTGAAAAGATGATGGGCACATCTAAAAATATCATAAAGACGCATTCTTTATGTGATTAGGGCTGTCAAAACGGCTCGTTAAGAAGCTCGTGTTCGGCTCGTTCACTAAATTACGAGCCAAACACGAACAACACAAACTAATATTTGTTCGTTCGTGTTCGGCTCGAAATACTATTAATCAATTATATATATATATATATATCTTTGAGGAGTAGTACTTTTAAAAAATTTAATTGACTGCAAGGCTACAAAGATTTATAATCAATTAAAACTATTAATGAAGAAAATAGAATAAAAATTATTAATTTAGATTCAACTTCTTCCTCTTAACCTGTTAGATTAATAAAAATTATAAAATTAGATTCAAATGAAATTTTAAATTTTGCCTCAATCCTTAACTTTTTATGGCTAAGTGATTAGAGTTGTTAAAACGAGCTGATCACGAACACACTGTTTGAGCTCGAAATATAAACGAGTATCGTGCTCGGCTCGTTTACACCCCTATATGTGATGTTGAGAATAGTCGTGGTTTTAATTTAAAGATACCAATTAATATGCCAATAATTAAAAATAAAACAAACATTTACCTACTAACATTTCTCTCACCTAAAAATAATCCACACCTTTGTTATGATTTTCTCCCATGCACGTAACGTGCACCCATGCAGCTAACGTGCTCCCATAGTCCCCCCCTATCTTCATCATTCCATACACATATATATAAATAGATATAGTATAACCACTATGTAAGTTATATTTTCGGAGGTTGAGTAATATTCGAATTATTTCAATGGCTCGTTTCCTGATCTTCTTTCTACTATTCTCAGTTGCTCGGCCTAGTGTTAAGGCCCAGGAGATGCTATCATGTAGCGAAGTTGGCCTTATGGTAAGCCCGTGCTTGGCGTATCTAGCCGGCCTGGCTCGGGAACCTTATGGCCCGTGCTGTGGTGCTGTGGTTGCTTTGTCCCGCACCGTTCTTACCGGGCCGGATCAAGCAACAGTATGCAGGTGTCTTAAGGGCATTGCCTCTCGCTTACCGGTTGTAAATGTCGCACGTGCCGCTGCCCTCCCACGTGCCTGTGGAGTCACTGGCAACGTCACCATCTCCCCCTCCGTCGACTGCAGCCGGTAAGGGTGAAAAGGCTGAATTTGAGGAGAAAATTGGGTATATTTTGAAGTATATTCAGGGTGCATATTATGTGTACACCCGCGTAAACATCCCAATCCATACATACTGTCATCCGTATCTAGGGATGTTAATGATTCAATTTCTAGCCGGCTTGAAATTAGTTCGAATAAATTTATTGCGGCTCGAAATTGACTTGTGGCTCATTATATTCAATTTCGAGCCGACTTGGCTCAAAATTGAATCAAGTGCGATCCGACTCGAATTCAGAATGAGCCGGCTCAACCTGAGTAATGAGCCGGCTCAACCTGAGTTATTTGGACCCGTTTCAACTAGGAATTAACTCGGTTTGGCTCAAAATAGAAACTAACATCCTAAAATTGAGTTAGTTGGATCTGTTCCAGCTCTAAACTGGCTCGTGAGTTTTATATTCAATTTTACCTAGCATTATATATTATTTTTATAAATAAAAAATACTACAAGACTATTTCAAGCCTATTCATGTATGACTTAAAATCGGCTCAACAAGCCAGTTCGAAGCGATTGGGCTGGGTCGGTTGGTTGACATCAACGGTATAAGACTCCTTAGGTCTGAAGTTCGAATCCCCTCTGACACAATTGGCCTCAAGAAGATGACACTCAAATTGTTAGACACATTTGGGGTGGCTAGAGTCCAGTATAATAGCTCTGGCCATTCCTTTATTTATATATATATATATATATATATATTATAGTTTTAAGGATATGTGCCTTGTACTTTAAGATTCGCGCACATTTTCGTTAATATCTAATCTCTAAAATTATTCTCTTATTGCGCAGTCTTTTGGCACCTTGAATATGAATGAATTGAGGATGGAGAAGAAGATTGTTGAAGAATATTTGATTAGGAACTTCTCTAATAAGAGTATTTAGGTCAACTTTGTTTTTCGGGATATGTAATGAGCTCAATAATGAACTTTTAAGTGTGTTTGCTTCTAATATTTCTAGTAATTTAACTCTGTCAAAGTTGTGTTTGTTATGGTGAATGAAATAAATGTTATGTTTTCACTAACCACAAGAGAATGTTGAGAAAAAGCATACATGAGAAATAGTTCTCAATACAAGGTGTTACCACAAGATAATATTAGTTATTACGTCAACGTCGAAAAACATATTAACAAGATATATCGAAGATTTATTATGATTTTTATATAATCAATTTTTTTTTTTGGTAGCGTATAAATCAATCTCTCTTTAAATAGGAGAATTATTGTAATGAAAGGGTTGTTGAGGAGCTAGTTTTGGGCCAGCTAGGGCCAAGCTAGTAACCAATCACGTGGCCTATTATGTTTGATCTCAAGCGAGCTCAGCTCGAAATCCATTTGAGCACGATATGACTCGAAATCGAAATGAATTGGCTTAAATTCTGATTTATTTGGATCTGTTCCAACTCTAAATCGGCTCTAAATCAAAACAAGATTGCCCAAATTGAGTTACTTGGATCTCTTTCAACTCGAAATCGGCTTATAGCTCGTCATATTTGATATTATTTAGCATTATATATAAATTTTATAAATAAAAAATAATTCATGCCGATCGCGAGTCAGTTTGAACCGATTCGTGCATGAATTAAAATTGGCTAAAAAATGGACAAATTTGAAATGATATAAAATCCGCAAATGAAGTGCTCGAATAAAATAGAGGAAGCATGCCTACATCCTTCATCACGATGGCAATACTCCACCAACCATTTGAAAGCAACATATTCAATACTTCCGAAATATATTTGGCCAAACACATAATTTTAATATGGTGGAAGTTATTGCTTGATTAGTGAGTTTTTGCTTTCTATAAAGTAATATTAATCTAATACACTTTCAAATAATACAATAAAATTTTAATTAGTTCTATTAATATTTTATTGATGGAATATGTGCATGATGAAGTGGTAGGAATCAAACAAGACTTAAGTTACTATATTGTTCAGTGCTCAGAGTATAAATGATGGAGCAAGTTGCACTTAGAGATAAACTCATAGCTTTTAGGAGCTACATCTTCGAGAAATATTTTAGCAAAGCACGAAAAGTGGCATCGTGGCGTGACCGAGTTCAAACATCGAAACTATTATAGTAGACTGAAGTTCTTCAGGGCAAACGAGTGTCACGTGCCACATAATAGTGCGTTTGAATGGTGATCTTTCTATTGCAATATAATAAAACATAACAAAATACTAAGGGGCAGTTTGAGATCACTTTTATTTTTTGTTTTTTACTTTGTTTTGTTTATATCTTGATTTGAATTAAAACAAAATGATCGAACTTGTTAGTTTCACAAAAAAATTATACCAATTAAACAATTTGTGCGGTTTGACATCAAATTGTTTTCTTTTTTACTTTTTGCTTTTGTTGTAACATGATTTACAAAGCTTATATCATCTTTCCTATGATTTATTAAATATTTATTGAACGTGAAGACATGAAAATTGTTAAGCGAGTGTTATCACGCCATGACATCATGGAAAATTAGGTCCTCTAAACAATTTTCATGTCCTTCACGTTCAATAAGCCTTTAATAAATTATAGCAAAGATGGATAAACCCATATTCAACTCTCTACTAAAAATGTATTTTAGTTTTGACATCAAATTGCATTAGTTTTTTCATCTACATTCTTCTTTATCTTCTTCTACACTCATCTTCAAATTTTTGAAGGGACTTAATTATAACTTAATGATGATATAGATTTTTATGTGTAATGTAGATGAAAGCATCAAACCACTTATATAATATTTCTATCACACACACACACACACACTTTTTCCTCTTTAGTCAACCCAGGTAACCTTTGCCGACCCAACGTAGTGGGATTAAGGCTTTGTTGTTGCCGTTGTGTTGTAGTCAATCCAAGTAACCTAGTTTGTCTTCCTTTGAGGAGTCTCAAGGAAGGCCCAAGCTTGAACCTGACTCAAGCTCATATTAACTATAATAGGCACATTGAAATAGAACCATCATTTCCACATCAAAACATTTTAAGATTGAAATGAAGAGGAGAAAACTTGTGGCTACAAGGGTGTGCAACCACAATATCTATGCAATAAGTACTACTAACTTTAAGTTAATCAATAATTCTTTAACACTACAAAACACTTTTAGCATACATTACAAATATTAGCCAAGACTGGGAAAAATCATAGAGCCACATCAAATAAAACTTATGACTACAAAGCACTACTAGCATACATAAAGGGCTTAGAATGCTTCACAATCAAAATCACATCACGAAAAATATGAACACTAGTTCGAGAAATCCAGGTAAAAAATAATAATAAACAGAAACATAACAAAGTAATCTAAGAAAAACACAATAGTATTTTAAGTGCAAAAGTCCATGACTGGGAAAAACCATAGAGCCACATCAAATAAAAAATTCCCTATGAATGGGAAAAGATACACACTCAAATCTTCTCCCTATAATCAATGCAACTTACAGAAATTCGCTCCAAAACTTCCACTCGATCTGGCAAGAGAAAGATTTCCCTCTGAAATCACCATCCCAACAATTCACCTTTGCAAATAAGTCTGTCAAGAAACAACACACGCTAGTGAGAGAGAAAATGCAGCTCCAAATCCCCACAACATATGTACGCCGAAAAAAGGCATAATTATTTTGATCACTCAGTCATCTACTACTAAAACAAGCGAGACACCAGTGTATCTACTTTCGATTGCGGCATAGTTACACTACCATGTGTAGTTACACCAATTTTAGTTCAGGTACGACACTGTAATAGTCTTCATACTTAACAATTTATCACTTGGAGAATGATTTTATCCAACACTTTCCTCTAGATCTATACCTCCAGAAGTACCATTTTTATAGTCATGTATCGTACTGTGACTTACCCACCTATCTCAACCTTTCTGGACTCCAATTGAAGCAAAACATAACTCTAATTTCTTGATAGTCACTGCCTTAGTCAAAATGTCCGCAGGATTTTGGACTGTATTCATCTGTTCCAAAGTAGCTACCCATCTTCTAAGAGAGAACAAATAAGGTGATACCTCGGCTAGATATACTTTGTCCATGCAAAAAAAAACAGCATTCTTAATAAGAAGAATAATTGTCATATCATCATTATGAAGCTTTTCAATCCCCTCTTTCTTGCTCAGTTCTGTCATAAATACTTCTATTCAAATCATCTCATTACTAGCTTCAGTGATAACAATGTATTTAGTCTCTGCAGTTGCAACCATCTTATGGAGCTTGGAAACCCAATTCAACATTGTGTTTCTCAAAGTAAGGATATACCCTGCTGTACAATTTCTACCATCCAAATCTCCTGCCCGACTTGAATCATTAAATCTTCGTCGACTGATCCTTATACTTTTATAACAAAGTGCCCTATTGACTGTTCTCATAAATATTTGAGAATTCACTTCACGGCCTCCCAATGATGCCTGCCAGGATTTCCCATGAACTAGCTAATACTCTCACTGCATATGCAATATCTATTCTCTTACAAATCATAGCATATGTTGGCATCATCTTTCGATGTCAGGAGCATAGGGTGCCAACTTGAATGATCTGGGAATATGTTTCATGAACATCCAACCTCTCAAAACCCAAGACATCTGATTTTGATCCTTCAGCACGTGGTCAAGATAGCTTTGTTAGGATCTTGTTTTCACTAAGGCGAAGGCCGATCAACATTATGTCCATCAGATGGCTTCGATCGGACTGATGGACTTCGCTCGACACGATACATGCAAACTGGGTCATTATTTGGCTTGCTCGTCAGCAAAACGTCATTCAGATGAGCCCAGATCACAAATCGGATATCACAGATGAGTCCAAGACATCATTTTCGCTTTGGTTAGGCTTTCATGGGTTTGAATGTGGCTCAGTACCCTACAAACAATGGAGCCACGTCAGCTGGGCTTGACGTGACCACGTCTAAATTGGGCATGGCCATACTTGTCTTATAGAGTGACCACACTAGGTCGTCCCCTACTTGTTCGATCTGGGCCTCACCGTGTGACCACGTCTGAGGTCAGCATAGCCACGCCAGTCAGACAGTGGGTGACGTAATTACGCCACCCTTTGGGAGTGGTCACACCACTAGCCCGTTCGCGATGCCTATAGAGCGACGTGACTGCGTCGTAACCATGGCGTAGCCACACCACTAGAACACATTTCACGAGGTAGTCTTTTTTTTTTCTACCAAGATGTCATCTGATCGTCTAAAGCCATTTTTGGCACCTATGCTCATATGGGATGTTCCCATATGGGGTAAGGGGTCGTTTCTTCCCCATTAACCATGGGATAAACTCTTTTGTTTGGGATAACTAAGGTGCCAACCATTTGGGGAAGGGTAGGTCATTTGAAGATTTTCTTGGAGAGGAGGAGAGCTTGGAGAAGCTGGTGTGCTGCTGGATTAGAAGAGGTATTGAAGAAGATTTTGAGGATTTGAGAAGTTTTTCTTCCATTCTTCTCCTTCTTCTTCTTCTTCTTCTACTTCTTCTTATTCTCAATCATTTTCTCTACTTCTCCTGCAGCTTCCTCTACAGTCGTCATTTTCGCAGGGAAAACAGAGAGATTCATTTCTTATCCTCCACCACTAACCTTCCTTGAAGCTTTACAGGCCTTGAAATGTCATTGTTTCTGCAGTTACAACATTCTTCTGTGTCATTACCTCTGCTTGACCAAGACTTTCTTCTTCTAGACTTGAATCTGCCACTGCATATATTCCTGCTTATATTCATTCCTTTATTTTTAGCATTCAATGCAGAACCGGAGGGTTCACCATTCGTTGCTTTTCTGTGAACTTCTTAATTTAGTTTCAATCCCATGATGTCATCAAAGTTCAACTTCATATTCCTAAAAGAGTTATCACTGTGACCAAACCATCCTTTCTATTCGAAAATGACGATAGAATTAAGAGTGCTTTGATCTCTTCATTAAATTTAATTTTCATATAACTCAGCTTGCTAGTTATGATGTTGAAAATGTTCAAGTGTTCAGCCACTGAATTGTATTTTTTCTTCTTTAAATTGATTAATATATTCATCAGAAAAATCTTATTTGAATCAGAAGATTTTTCATACATCTTTGTCAATGTCGCCAAGAAATCTACTATGATTTTTTCATTCACTATATTGAATGCAACATATAAGGAAAGTGACAAACGAACCAAACTTAGGTTCATTTGATACAACACTTCCTATTCTTTCATAGTCATCGATTCAAACTTGATGATTTTTTTTGTCATAGCAAATATAATTTTCTCTCATACAACAAATCCTCCAATTGCGTCCCTCATAACGTGAATTTCGGTCCATTGAACTTTTCCACTTTATATCTTGTTTCTTCGATCATTGCTCGAGTCAAACTTCTCGCTCTAATAACACCTTTTGGGATGGAATGTGCACTGAGAGATTTGAGTGGTTCTTAATCAAAACCACAACGAAAAATAAGAACTCTGATTTGAGAAACATGAAAAAAAAAAATAGAAACACAACAAAGTAATTTAAGAAAAACATACCAGAATTTACATGTAAAAACTCGAGAATGGAAAAAAAAAACATGGAGCCACGCCACATAAAAAATTCATGAATAAGAGAAATGCACAGAAATACAAACTCAAATCTTCCCTTTATAATCATTGATGCTTGCATAACTTCATTCCAAACACTCTGCTCAATCAAATAAGAGAATGCCCTCACTCCGAAATCACCCACTCGACAATTCACCTCTAGATAAAAGCCTAGAAGCCTTTCAGGAAACACAGCATAGGAGTGAGAGAGAAAATGTTGCTCTGAATCAAGAGCTTGAGAACCGAACAAGAGAAACTGTCCCAACAGCTTACGTACGCCGAATAGAGACATAATTATTTTGATCGCTTGGCCATCCAATTATGGAACGAGCGAGACATCAAGGTTGCTACGGTCGGTAACGGCGTTATTATGCCACCCAGCATAGCTACACCAATTTTGGGGGAAGTACGCCACATCAGTAGCCTTCTTACTCAACTGGAGCACATAATTCTTATGTATTTACATATCTCACTAAACTTTCATATTTACATATATAGCAATTACAACCTATGCAAAAAAAAATGTGTTTTTCACTTCTAAAAGTTCCAAAAATGCTATTTTCTATAATGATATTAATGCTTTGAGCGCTACTTGTATAGATACAAAAATTTAGGTATGAGTATTTAAATACATAAGAATTGTGTGTTATGTATGTGACCCAAAAATAATAATAACAACAACAACAATGCAGCTTGCATAAAATAGCTTTACAGATAAATATCTAAGTTTCAATGACGTAAATTACACTAAATATATCCTAAGCACTTTGTATCTAAGCCATATTTAAGCCCCGGTTGACCTTGAATGTGATCATCATGGGCATTTAATTCATCTTTTTAACCACTACGTCATCACCATCCCAAGAAATTGGACAAATTCAATTTGGACAATAATATCTCCATTAAAATATCTCCATAAATAATATATTATTTACACACACAACATACACCAGAAGCATCCACAGAACAAAAAACAAACAAAAAACAAACAAAACAAAAAAACCAAAAACAAAAAACAAAAAGCAAATGAACAGATTAACAGAAAGATTAAGAGCTAACTGTTCCGCATAGTTAAGACATATACACAACTGCTTAAGCAAGAGACCTCGCTTAGCAAATTACAATTCATCATCTTCAAAATTTATCCTGCTACCTTATTTCAGAAAGAGGTACATTCCTCTCTGCAATGGTTACTTAGAAATACATTATATATTGCCTAACAGCATCAAAATCAAAACCGCAAGACTTTAGAAACCAAGCATATAGCCTCATCTCCCTTTCTCTGGATGCTACTCAGCGATTCAAACTCGAGCTTGATACGACTCGATGGGCTCGGTTCGACTCTGCGCGGCCAGACGCTCTGATATATCAGCAAGGGACTTAAGGTTGCATTTGATCAGTGCCTTAATGAAGAAGCATGTCTCATCCTCCGTGTTGCCTTCGGGTACATCGACGATAAATGACTCGATCACGAGAGTGCCCGGCCTTCCCTCGATGTTCTCGGGGTGAACAGTTATCACAGACGAATAATTCTGCGGTCAAAGATGCCAAATATAAAGTAAGAAACAAACAATCATGGATTTCTAGTGCTGTATTTTGTTGGAAGAATATGATTCTCAGAGTAATATTACAGCTTAGATTCTGCACCAACTAAAAAGTTTTAAAAAAACAGTATTTTTACATAGTTGCCAGTAAGAAAGCTCCCTCAAGGGTTCTATTGGTTGCTTTCAGTTGGTTAAAAAACTGATTTTTTTCGATTCTGTTGTCTGGTTAGATGTGAGTAGAGATTGATATGGACTTTCAATTCTGCAAATATCTTCACACTCTAAATGAAAAAAAGAAAAATCACCAAAATTTCGATTTTGAACATCTTAACATTTAAACGAGCCTCAAGCAAAAATTCAGAGAAGAGAGAAGCTTACTAAGTTCAATAATTCAGAATTGGAAGATTTACATACATACCTCTCAACAAAACTAACAACTAAACTTCAATTTTTACATGTATGCCCACTTTGAAAAGGTTTATTTCACTTTTTATAAATTAAAATAGTGATATTTTTGATGTGATACGAAAGATTTGAGGGTATAAATATAAAAAATAAAGTTTAAATGTTAGGCATGTAAATACACCGGAATTGGATTATCTACATGTAAATACCCCAATCAAGCAGATTTCTCCAACATCATTTGAAGCAAAAAATTGTAATTGCATATATACATCACAAAGGACTAAACTGTAATAGATAATTATTCAATTATCTCTATTTGTTACCAACAAATAAAAAAAAAAACAACTTTAAATAAATGAAATTTAGCTTCCTAGTCCAAAGCACAGAAAATTATGACAAATCAAGATAAATCATCATAGAAATGGAAACATAGAACTTCAAAAACGCTGATTGCATAACAGGGAGGAAGAAGACGAAGTGCAATGAAAAGCTAAATTTAGTATTAGACCTTAAGACGATGATCTCCTCCAACAATTTTAATACTCAAAACATGCTCATCATCGTCTAGTAGCTCCAGCCTCTCTGTACTGGTGGTCGCCGGAAGTCCAGACTTCACATTAACTTGTCTGACGCTTCCAATCTCCATCTCTCCCTGAACCACACATCTGCTCACAAAGGGCTTGTACTTCTGAGGCTGATCAAATCTCCTAACCAAAGACCAGACCTACAAAATCCCAACTCTGTTAGTTACCAAAATCAAACCTTTTTCTAAACTGATCAATCATTTTCAATAAAAAGAATATCTTTTGAAATCTGGGAAGAAAGAAAAAGAGATCTCACGAGGTGAATGGGAGCTTTGATGTGTTTGATGAGAGCGGAGCTACACTGGTTCTCTCGGGGCTCGTGCCGGTGGAATCTACGTACGAACTCCATCTCCATCGCCCTGCATCCGCTAAGGCTCATATCGTCAGCCCAACACCCACCGCCGCCGCCGATCGCGGCTGTCTCTTCGATCCTTGCTCTTGCTCTGCTCTCCCCTAACATTGATCGATCCGCTACTGATCAATCAGTTGTAAAAGAGCCAAATTTATGCTTCTCGTGCTCTCTTCTACTCTGGGCCGTTCCTTTCCCAATCCGCCATTAAAAAGAATATAGAAACAAAAAGGATAAACCTCAGCACGTCGTACCCAGATCACTCGTCTTGACCAACTCTGTCCGCACGATAGTTTTTTTTATGCGGATTATTGGACCACCAGCCGACCATTAATGAAAAAAAAAAAAAAAAAAAAAAGAAAGGGTCCGATTTAAAAATTTAAAAAAAAGTTCGATTTAAAAATTTAAAATAAATATGCCTAAGTTTTAATTAGTTTTAATATTTATATATTTGGTATTTAAAATTGTCATTTGTATGAACATTTGAATTTTATTTTTTACTTTTATGATAATTAATTAATTAGCATTAAAAATATGAATTTCATAGTGCAAGTCATTTTTTTCTATTGTTTGAGAGTAATTTTCAAGCCAAAATGACCCAAGTTGAAGATATTATATATGCAATATGCGTGTTTACTATTGGAGATTTATGTTTAAAATAGTCATCGTAATTTTTTAAAAAGCATTTTTCCTTACAACAACTTCACATCTATTTCTTCAAAGTTCAAACAGTTGTAAATGTTCCAATTATACTCTAAATTACATAATGTAAAAATATTAAATTTTACTATATATATATATACGAGTCTTCAGCCGCCACTAATGTGTCTAACATTGATGTACCCCCTTCTTAAGACCAACTGTGCGAGATTCGAACCCCCGACTTGAGGGGTCTCATACCGTGAATGCCAACCAACAGGCTGAGATACACAACATATATGTGGACCAAAGGTTATTATACGAGTCTCCAGCCGCCACTAATGTGCCTAACAATTGGTGTACCTCCTTCTTAAGACAAACTGTGCGAGATTCGAACCCCCGACTTGAGGGGTCTCATTCCGTGAATGCCAACCAACAGACTGAGATACACAACATATATGTGTGTGTATATATATATATATATATAAATCAATCTATTTATTTAAACTTAAACAAAAAAGGAACTATTCTAATAAAAAAATTTCTCCATTATCTGGCTCGAGATATTTCTATTATTATTATTATTATTATTATTATTTACGAGGAAATTGAGACCTTAATGGAACGCAATGAACTTAACATGCGGTCATGGGCACATTGACTTGGCCCATTGCCCACCCTTCACGCATTGCACATCGTTCTGCCCTTCAATATGGGGCAACCTTGTTTTTCAATTATTTACGATAACGCCATTACAGCGATTGGAATCTAAACTTATAGGGGTGTACTTGTAATTTTTTTATGATGCAGGGTGATTTTGTTCAAAGTAATATGAATATTTATTTATTTCATATTGGAAAAGGAGGAAATCTTGTACGGTTAGAGATGAATAAATATTAAAAGGGCGGTTTGGTTGCATCTGAAAAGTAATGGGCATTAATTAAGTTCAACCAGGGTGGAAAATATTAAAAATTATTAGGCATTTACATACATGCCACCCAATTTCATGTATTTACATATCTAACACCTTGGATTTTTACATTGATGCAGCCAAATGCGAATTATTACATGTAAAAAATTGAAATTCAGGTGCTGCATATGTAAATATAAAAGAATTGAATGGTATGTAAGCAAAACTTCCTAAAATTATTTATTTACTGATGAAATTTCAATTTAAAGGGCAAAACTGCTTTGTGATTGTCAAAATTGAGATAGTCTAATCAAACTTTTTATATTTCCATTCACGAGATAAATCTATTTTTTAAAAATGAATTTTATAATGGAAAAATTTAATATCAATTAAAAATATATGCTATAAGGGAAAATTACATACATAGCCCCCAATTCTTAAATATATTACATAATACAAGCTACTGTAAACATTATTTTAAGTCAAGTTTAATTCGTTTTAAATAAGATAATTTGAAGAGTCAAATTTAAGATTAATTGAACTTTGATTTCAATAAATTTATAATCAAACCAAATACATAAATATTACAAACTCAAAAATACGAGAAGTGATTCAATCTGAGTGAAAATGAGCCAAGTTAAAGCATTTCAAGTATAATTAGATGCTTTGAAACATTAATTAAAATATCAAGTTTTCTTTGAATTTGACATGTAGATAAATCTAATGAGGTAAAGATAATTGAATTTGAGGTTGTTAAAGCACCAAAATGTTTAAGAAAAAAATCTATCATTAATGATGATGCGTGCCTGAAGGCTCACAATGGTAAGATAATGAATTATTGTCTTAGTGTTGCACAAAAGCCCTTTGCACACTCAGGTAATTAAAGAGAAGTAAACATGAGAAGAAGCCTCAAATTTTACATAAAAACACTTGAAAGGGGAAAAGACCACGAAGCTTAGCTCAGGTGAAATAATCAACTTTGAATGGTGAGTACACATGTTTACTCTTGTCTTAAATTACAAAAGATGGAATTACGAAGTTAATCATAGTAAATTTACAATAATAATTCATTGATAATAGTCATAGTCTGGTTGTAATGAATGAAGCTCTCAGTGATAGTAGATACAAAGGGCATAGTTGATTATTATATAGCCGTGAATGCTGTAGAGGGTTGTAGCGCTAGTTTGTCATATAAGTTAAAGTTGAAAGTCATGGTAGTAGTTGACCATGTGTGTTGCAGATGGTTGTTTTAGGAGCGTCGGTTGGTCATAAAGACCGTGGTAGGAAGCTACAAAAGTTGTGAACCATGTAGGTTGTAGTTGGTCACCAAAATTGTCGTGGTGAGCTAATGATGGTGTCTATAGATCGTAGATGTGAGTAATGATGGTGTCTATAGATCGTAGATGTCAGAGCTGGAAGCCACAAAAGATGTGATAATGTCCATAGGCTAAAGAGGCTGAAGTTGAGAGCCCCATGAGTTGTTATATCATTTGTGGGTCATAAATGCCAAAGTGGAGAATTGCACAAGTTGTGATAACATCCATAGACCAGAGAGACCATAGTTGAGAACATCATTAGTTGTGGCCACATCAGGTGTAGATGGTAACATAAATCGTAGTGGTAACTGAGCATTGATTACTTTCGCAGGCCATAGAGACTAAAGTTGGGAGCTAAAAGAAATTTGGACCACGTAGGTCATAGTTGGACATATAGGTCGTAGTGGTGAGCTGTGATGATGTCCACATGCCATTGGCCAAAGTTGGAAGTTGCACGAGTTATAAACCACTTAGGTCATAATTGGTTACATAAGTCGTAGCAGTGAGCTGCGATGGCTTTCGTAGGTTGCAGAGATCGAAGTCGGGAGCTGCATGAGCTATGGGCCAGGCAAGCTGTAGTTGGTCATGTACACTATAGGAGATGAGCAAAAAGCATCCAATATTTGCATCAAAATTTTCTAACACACTTATTTGCATCAGAGTTTGCTTCTGACACACAACGTTTGTAGCAAAATTTGTGTCGTATTAGCCTATGATTGTTCAACACAATGAACTATTTCATTACGATGAAAGTTAAAGTGGAGTTGCGGTGGTTTTAAAGTCAAATTTGCGCCAAATAAATCTATGCAAAATATTTAATTATGAAGCACAAATAATGACACAAAGTAGTTAAAAAATCTGACACTAGACCTAAAATAACCATCTCATGCCCTTCATTTCATTTTCTTTTTTGCACGTCCCTGAAACCCTCACATCTCCTCTCCTCTCTCTCATGACATTGAAGCTCTTCGGCCATCGTCAATCGTAGTAGTGCGCATAATCTACCGAGATATACCATCAGTAAGGAATTTAAACTGAAGAAGTGTGCATCATCTACTGAGATAATTTTCTAGAGATATATGTTGTGTCGAGCTCAACCCAACATGTCCAGAGATCCTTGATGGGTATAAGTCCCACCTTTTTGAACTCTACCTGCATAGGTCATATTTTTAGAGTTTCCTTATTTTGACATTAAGACCAATGAGATTCCATTAGATGACACAATTCACGGATTGCTGACAATGGATTTTTGGTCGCATTGGGTCGACTACCTTCACGACCGGGTAAATGTAGGATCCTAGTGGCTTCAGATGACATATCTGTGATATCCTGACCCGGTTACCTCTACATGCTTAAGGATTACTCATTGTAAGTAGAAGGAAGTGATTCAAAGGAACTTCAAGGGATTTGTTTGTGGAGGAGAGCAAGATAAGTTGTTTACTTAAATTTTGTGTGGTGTAAACTTGTTTCAATATATATATAAATTCATGTTATGTTATTTCTTCTCTATGAATTCTGAGTAGTTGTTTTGTCATTCCATTTATAATAAGAAGTAGTGCTGTGAAGAATCAATAGTTGTTTGAAAATGATCTTAATTTCTTAAATCGATTTACTTTTCAATATGACCAGTTGATTTATTAAAATCTATGAAAAAACATAAGCGCCGGGATGACCATGTTTTCAACATTCAAGTAGAGATCACACTTTAATGTTATGGAAGAGTGAAGTCTCCATGATATTAACTGTAAATAAATAGGGAAATATTGTTTAATGAGTGTCGAATTAGTGATTTTGGGATAACAGACTAAAGATCAACAATTTGGTTCAGATGTTTAGAAACTATATGATGAGATTGTTAGCCCTTAGGTTGGAGAGAAGTGGGAGCTCTGGAGTGAGGCCAATATCCTCTTAGCCTAGCCACATACGTGAATTCAAAACATCTAAATTAGTCAATGTCCTTTATTGCTTAACGAGAGGATTAAATGATATTATTGCTCCTATTTGTCACATGCAATTAATAATAACTTTGATTCTTCACTAGCTACCACCTTATTGTAATTGGGAAAGAAACTTTTCTGAAATTTGAAAACTTCGTTAAAATTACTTTACCTGCTTATAGTAGATTTAACTTTTAAGTTTGCAAAATTAGCATAGTAGATTTAGTTTCGTTAGACCTGCATTTCACATTTAACTTTAGTTGTTGTAGTTCATATACTATTTATTTAGGTTTTTTTAATTAAGTAAGAGTTTAACCTTCTCCCTATGAGATTAATACTTAGGACTCTATTAGAGCACTATATTACATGAGCGATACTTATACTTGCGTTTACGACCTAGTGAATATAAAATATTGGAGACACATTTTGGGTTTACAAAAGTAAAATTATTTGCAAATTAAGC